AATAAGAATATCAACACTTAACAACTGATACGGAAAATAAAAAGTTGATAAAAAAATCATAAAACAACCAATAAAATCATTTTATTTTTTAAGTAAATTCATTTAATTAAAAAAATACATAAATTTTATATTCACCTTTTAAGTTCTCAAACTCGACTTGTGAAGACAATAGTTTAGATAACAATTCATTATATATTTCAAGGAATAATAATCGTCAACTTTACCTTTTTACTTATCTATCAATACTTTTGGGGATCCATATGGATTCTCCCTACACATGAACCCAATATCCAACTTATTTATTAATCATTCGTTCTCATACCTCTTCCGGTAATAGGCGCCAAATATACCAGCGCCTCAATACTCCATTCAGTATGAGGGTGAATAAATATTTTCCAACTCCTTTCGGTATGGGACTTTCTATTCCCGTTCGACTAAGATAATATTCACGGAAGGATTTGTCCTATATATCGGGTCCATACACCATTTTTCATGATACCAAGTAACCTTTTTTGCATACATGTTTACATCATCCACCATCCACCAATCACACACAACTAACTCATTCCATATTCACAGAGCAATAGAACGATAATTACACAAACAATATAAATAAATATATTAATAGCTAAGGGAGATATGATTAAAGCATTTATTGCAAACCAATCAATAGATAGAGATAAAAACGATTGAGTAAACTAATGAACAAGAAAGTAATTAAAAATAATAAATTAAAATGCACGAGTAACGGTAAGTAAGCAAAGTAGTATAGCCATAAATAAGCAACATAGATAAGTTAGGACAATTATACACTAATAAATTATCGGCTCTACTGGTGACCTGCATTTAATTAATCAAAAATTTCTAATATTTACAAATTATATTGTTATTATTTATTAAACTTTAATTAACCGTAACGAGAGAAAATGGTGAAAGATTCTTACTCTGGGTCGGTGTTCGAAATATCGCTTTTTTCTACTGCACTTCCCAACAGTTCTCAGATTTCTTGCGTTTTTTTTTACAAAAACCAAAAATACACATCACGTATTCTGAAATACCCTAAAAATGCGAAAATAAGGGTTTTAAAATATTTTCAGTCGGTTTAGGGTTCTAGCATGGCGCCAACTCCGCCGTCCACGATGGTGCCTCCTCTTAATCTGATCGATTTCGGCTAACTTTGTGCGAAAACCTACAAAATTCAAGGTTAGGGAGCCTATGTTGACTGGAAAATGGGAAAACCAAAGCTTATCGGTCGGGGGGCAGTTGGGGGAAGGGAGGAAAACGGGAGTTTTCCGATACAGTGGCTCCGTCGTTCCTCTCTCGCAGCCAGGAATTTTCTTCGATTGTCCTACACCATAAATGTGTTAGGAATTCAAGGGTTGAAAGATTGAAGGGAACGAAAAAAATAGGATTGGGCTCATCGGAGCAGTTTTTAGGTCGCAGTCGCAATGGCTCGGTCGAGCTCCGTTCTCGATTTTTGACTTTTCTTTTGGCTTTTTGGCACCGATATGGGTGTAGGAAGGCTTAAAATAATTTTGAAACGAAATAGGAAAAAAAAATTACCTACTCGGTGCGGCAACGACAATAGTTGGTTTTCCTTCTGGCTGCCCTTCTTCTTCTTCTCCGGTGAGATCAAGTGCTGCTAGGGTTAAGGTTTTCTGGGAAGTGATGTTTAAATACCTTCCCTGCCTCGATCTACGCTATTCGTTCAGGGACACGTGACTCACTCCCAACTATTGGATCGCTCTTATTTGGAGAATTAATCTGAGTCGTATGATTGGATTAAATCTGGGTTATTCGATCGCGCCTCAAGAGAAAACGAATTTGGAGCGTCCGTGCGTGCGGAAAGAGATCTGGGCTATTAGATCGGTTGGCACGTAGATCGCTTGTGTGGCTTCCTGTGTGGACACGTGTCTGCCACGCAGCACGGTTCATATGACCAAATTTATGTTATTTTTACTTTTACTCAAGTTTTCTAGATTTTTTTTTCAAATAGATTCTCTTTTATTTCTACTTTAATTTTTGAGAATATTTTCAAATACATCTAAAATACAATTTTATTTAAATTTTTAATTAAAAATTAAAATAATAATTTTTTTAAATTATTATTACTAAAATTGGCTTATCTTGGGTCTTATTTCCAGGCTTGAGTGTTATAATCACGAAATATTTTTATTGATTAGATACATTATGTAATGTGGAACCTAAAATCAACTAGCATGATTATGAACTCACCCAATTTTATTTAAAAGTATCAAATGAATTGATCTTATAGAAATCCTCCATATTTAATCCGTTATATAGAATGATAGAAGCTAAAGTCACCAAAAATAAAAAAAAAATAGAATGAAAAAAAAGCTATAAGGTCGTACCTTTATACATATATCAACTACTTACTCGACAAAATAGTAGAAGAACCTCTTTTGAAAAAGAAAAACACTCTTAATATTATTAAGGTAATTTCTAAAAGCCTTACAATGAAGACTTTGTAGCCTATTTACAGGTTAATTTATGTAAATAAAAAAATGAAAAATTTTAATTTAATTTTCAATTACATAGGAAATAGATCAAAAATTAAAGACTAATTCCTAATTAAGATAGATTTAGTCTTTTTTTTTAATTAAAAAAGATTGTGATCAAATTAAGGAGAGATATATAGAAATAAATTAAAAACTAAAGGCTAATTTTCTAATTAAAATAAATTTAGTCTTCTCTTTTAATTAAAAGAAAATGTAATCAAATAAATAGGGAGACATATGAAAATTTATGCTAGTATTAAGGTCTCCTTTTTGGCCGATTCCCTCCTTATTTTAGTTATTTTTATAATTTCTACTAATTTTCATTTTTGTGTCAATGAGTAACGTGACATTCTTACTGGGTTAGTGTAGTTTACTCATTTATTAACCATTTCAGATCAAGATCCAAAACTCGATCCACAAGAGGGTTGGGAGTAGGATGCCCAGTTATTTATTTTTCGTTTATTCCTTTGATTTTTCATTATTTCTTTTACAAGGGTCATTCCCGTAACCCTATTAAAAAATCTGAATTATTATGTAAGGAATGTAACCCTAACTATTTATTTTGCTTCTACATTCAATTCATAATTTATTTCCTTTCTAGTTCACGGGCCGTTATATTGATCATCTTGCTCTCCTTTCCCGCAAGCTTGTTTGTGGGTCATGATGCTCGCATCATAATGACTTGTTGGGATTGAGTCTAATTTTGTTGTTGTAGTTCCAATTAATACATTAATAAGTTAAGCTTGTAGTCTCGTTAAATTAAGCATTATTTATTAACTATTAATAGCTCATAATATATTTACAAAGTAACAAATCTTATATTTTTAATAAGGTTTACACTTATAATATTCAAATAAAATATTCAAGAATCTTTATCATTAAATCATTGTGCGAGTGGTGTGGTAAAATATTTTTTAATTCAATTAAAAGTTTCGTCATACCGAATTGATTTGGATTTCTTTCAATTGTTCAAACCCATAAATAATGTTCCTTTTAACTATCTATTTCTTCCTCATCTTTTAACTACCTAGCAATAAACCAACTAAAATGGTGTGCAAGAGAGTGACTTAGTAAAAATAACAAAATAATCATGGAGGTCTTATGCATAAGACGACACTTTAATACCCAATCTTTACTCAAAGTAGCCACTAAAGTGGCTATTTATAGATTATAAGTAAAAGCTTATAATAAACTCCCATGCCAGTCGTGAACAAATTTTCTACCACTAATTAAACTAAGTTATTCTTTATTGACTTATTTCTATTAAGTTTAACCGACTATGTAATAAAAAAAGTAGTATGTATTAAAATGTGAAGGTCATGACTAATATTTATTACTGTCATAAAACTTCGAATTAATAATTTATCTCAAATTATTGAAATTTTTTTATCACCAATTAATATATTAAGCGGTCCATTCATTATATGTTATGTTCCAAACATATTTGAAAAATATGTATATTGAGAGTAAGCTTAATTAGATTAGAGGTATGTAAACCTCATTCTAGATTCGTGTATTTGATTCAAGCTAGTCGAACCATCTATGTCCTAGAGCCTGTGGACCAAAGAGTTTAGTCTATTCCAGTCTAATGTTAGTATAGATAGAAATAAATTTAGAAAAATTAATACATATATATATATATATAATATAGATGAAATACAAGGAAAGAAAGTCAAAAACCAATCAAAACCCTTAGTCGAAATCTCTTTTTTGGTTTTTCCTCCTCCTCGCTTAACCATTCTACACCTCTCCTACCCTCAAAGCTTCAACTCTTTTACATTCCTCAATTTTCCTTAAAATCTGCACTTCACCATCAACTCACTACACCAACACCAATAGCTGGTAGTTTTCTTTTGTCATTATTATCACTCATCATTACCACGTCATCACCATGTTGTCTTACTTCTTTCTCTAGTAATTAGTCCTTTATCACGTCAGCATCAACACTCTAGATTCAGAGTATGTGTCTTACTATGTAATATGTGTGTGGATATATTCAAAAGTTATGTATTTCTGTTTATTTTCTTAAATTTTTAAATCAAAGCATAGAAAGAAGGAAAAATAAGTTTGGACTATTGGTTTAGTTTAGAATTTCGAATTAGACCAATTCTCATATGGTCGAGCATGCAGCCTAAACCATACGAGAACTTCCATAACGATCAAATTCTAAATTATTGTACAACTCTAAATCTGATTAATTTAATAAGAATTTACGAGTTAATTAAGATCACATTTTTGTAAAGAATATTCACGAAATCATTATAATAACTCAATTTAGGATCTACTCTACATGATTTTTATGTAAAATTTATTAATTAAGATGAGTTTTGAGGAAGTTAGTTAACTGAACCTATTATCTGATGAACAAGTACACTATAACTGGTTAATAGTATGGATCAAACCATTCATCAATTAGGCATAACATGTAATGGAAGAAACAATTGTTCCTTAATTAGAAATCCATTGAATCATTAACGTTTAAAGCCGTGTATATATGAATTATATATAATTCAATATGTAACTTTCTTTCTCATATATATATATATATTTATTTATTTATTTATTAGAAAAATAATTATATGTTTTCTTCTTCTCATTTTTAATGTCTTTTTTTTTTTTTTTGTCTTTCACATCTTAACTCTTTTCTATTTTGTTTGGGGTACCACTACCTGTAAGGGAATATAACTAAACTAGAATCGTGAACCTGGACTTCTTTCTCCCTCCAGGTTCATTTTGCTTCATTAATTTTTGCAAGTTAATTTATTAAACAATTATATATATATATATAAGGCACGCAAAATATTTTTAAAGATAATAGTTTAAAGTTTCTTCCTTAAAAATAATGTAATTTCCTTTTTTTTCCCCCCCCGATAAAAAGCATTAGTTATTTTTAAGATTCTCCAACAAAAAATTTATTTTTTGTATTTTCCAAATCAAAATTATTTAACTTCAGTTATTTGGAGGAAAATATATTTTGAATTATTGAAAATTGTTAAAAATTATAATTTATTTTATTTTTTAAAAAATTTAATTAAAATTTATATTTTAAATTATAATAAACTATTTTTTAAAAAAATTAAATTCAGTATAAATCTATTTTTAAGTTATTAATTTTAAAATTAGTGAAGTGAATAAAAATTAAAAAAAATTCTAACAAAAATTTTATTATTAAATAAATATTTTAAATTTTCTTAAAATATCCAATGGCTAGCTTACCTGCCAAATAAGTCGTTTCTAAATTTGTACGTATCCGTACCCAATTCTTATAAATAAAATTCTATATTTACATATACACATATAGATACAGAGAAAGGTGGTGGAATATATTTTAAAGGCATTTATCTTTTTTTTTTTTTTTTTTTTTATAAAAATAAAAACAACATGTGGCCACTATCCCTTACCAAGATAAACATTACTTTCTTCTCACTGCTAAGTCATTGCCACTCGCAAAGTGCCAGAAATCTCCTCACCCCTCTTATCCATTCACACATGTTTAATTACCTGAGCCAACCATCCGCGTCGACTCACCGCATCTCCCGTTTTTCAACTCTCTCCTCTTCCCCTCTCTCTCTCTCTCTCATCTTCATGGCTTCTCCTCCGATTTTCTTTCTCCTTTTCTCTTTTTTTCTCTCTGCTGCATATGGTTTTCTTTCTCGTACTTCTGATTTACAAAACTCCATCTTTTTACCTGTAACCAAAGATTCCTTGACTCACCAGTATGTAACCAAGGTCCACCATGGAACTCGACTTGTCCCAACCAGACTCGTCGTCGATCTCGGCGGTCCGTTTCTCTGGATTGATCGTTCTTCTCCTTTTATTTCCAAATCATCCTCTATTCGCCTCATCCCCAGTTGCTCCACAGAGTGTTTTAAAGCAAAAGCAGCTTCTTCTGATCTGCGAACTCAGAGTTGCTTCTCCGGGAAAGACGACACTCCCTGTGATCTCCTCCCGCGGAACGGCGTCGTCGGAGCGGAGACGAAAGGGGAGATGGTGGAGGATGTGATAGTCTTTGGATCTTCCGATGGGTCTCGGGTAGGTCAAATCTCGACGCTTGAGAATTTTCTGTTCAGTTCGGCTCCGAGATTTTTGTTGCAGGGGCTTGCCAGTGGGGCTTCGGGAATGTTGGGTCTGGGAAGAACGCAGATCTCGTTGCCGGCGCAGATGGCAGACGTTATTGGCCATAGCCGGAGATTTACTCTGTGTTTGTCGGATTCAGACGGCGTCGTTTTGTTCGGCGACGGATCTAATGAATCCATTTTCGGAAGTGAGATTTCCAGGTCGTTGACTTACACTCCCTTCGTCACTAACACCATGGGGGCTTCTGGTTCTGGGACTGGTCAATCTCCGGATTATCTCATCGGAGTAAAATCAATCAAGATCGACGGAAAGAGATTATCGCTCGACAAGTTAACAGTCGACGAACGAGGTGCAAAACTGAGCACGATAGTCCCCTACACCACCATGGAAAGCTCAATCTACGCGACCTTCATCAAGTCCTACATGGAAGCCGCTGTTTCTTCAAACATGCGGAAGGTGGACTCCGTTGCGCCATTCGAGCTCTGCTTCAGCTCAGAAGGGGTTAGCAGAACAGAGCTGGGGCCAGCAGTGCCGAGCATCGATTTCGTGTTGCAGAGCGAGATGGTTAAGTGGAGAGTTCACGGGAGGAACTCAATGGTTCAGATGGGTGATGGCG